TTGGCTTGGTCTAAAATGCTGACAGTTTCCCAGTTAAAACTGTGGTTGAGTCTGTCCATGTCTTGTGAGATTAAGGAGTTTTCATCGTTTCTTCTGACTGCTAGTTGGTGTTCATGGAAGTGCTCTGCCAGCCTTCTGCCTGTTTGTCCTATGTAGCGTTTGTTACATCCTTACACTGTATGTTGTAGATGACTCCTGTTTTTTCTTCCTGGGCAACTGGGTCTTTCGGTTTACTTAGGATGTTTTGGAGTGATTTTGTTGGTTTGTGTGCTACAGAGATGCTATATGGTTATAATAATCTGTTGGTGGTTTCTGAGACATTTCTGACATATGGCAGTGTGATCCTTTTCATGGCTTGTGTGGGTTCTGTTGTAGTAGGTTGAGAGGTCAGGCACTTTTTGATAAAATTGTGTGGGTATCCATTTTGTTGGAAGATGTATAGGTGGCCTTTTTCCTTTTTCTGCTGTTCTGGGTTGCTGCAATGCGTTTGAGTTCGCTTGAATAATGATCTTACACAGCTCCTCTTGTGGGAGGTCGGGTTGTTGCAATCAGAGGCTACAGCTTGGCTTGATAAAATGTGTTATCTCTCAGCCTCTGAATGGCTGTCTACTGACAAAGGTCTGGACAATACAGTTCCCAGTCAGGTTCAGCTTGTTGTTGAAAAACTATACTGCAGCAATTTTCTATAGATGTCAACTAGTGCTGAATATTATTCATTTGTATTTCGCTTAGTTTTTCAGCTGGTGGCCTTTTATTTTAATTTCTTTAATCCAGTTCTTTTACACTGGTTTAATTTACTTCTATCTATATATTTTTCTAATTTCTAAGAAATTAGACAAGTATATACAGCCTAAAGGTATATAATTTAATGAGACACAATGACAGAAACCATTTGCTACTAGAACAGCTTTTCTCTACAGCTGAGTTTGGGTAAAGAGCAATGACTTTAAATAGTATAATCATATATGTTCAACATGAAATGTTCTTCCCAGGATATTTCTGAAAGCACTCCTTACCTCCTGGTTCCTCATGCTGTAGATTAATGGATTGAGCATGGGGGTCACCACTACATAGAACACAGAAGCCATTTGGTCTAGCTGATAATTCTGCCTAGAGCTTGGCTGTGCATACATAAAGCTGAGACATCCATAGAAGATGGTGATGACCATGAGGTGAGAGCTGCAAGTGGAGAAGGCTTTCCTACGGCTCTTGGCACAGTGGATCTTGAAAATAGTGACCACGATATAAGTGTAGGAGGTGAGAACAGTCAGGCTTGTTGTTATTAAATTGAAGCAAACAAATACAAATATCAGCAGATAATTAAGACTGATATCTGAGCAGGAAAGAGCAAAAAGGGGAGGACCCTCACAATAAAAATTCTTAATGATGTTTGGGCCATAGAAGGACAGTCTAGTTGCAGCCATTGTGTGCACTAATGCATTAATGATCCCGGCAATATAGGAAATTGCTATCAGCTGAACACACTTTCTTGGGGACATGGTGATCGAATAGAGTAGAGGATTGCAGATTGCCACATAGCGATCATACGCCATCCCAGCTAGGAGGTAGCACTCGGTGGTAGAAAACAGAGCATAAAAGTAAAGCTGAGTAAAACAGCCCCCGTAGGAAATAATCTTCTTCTCCTTTAAAAGATTGGATAGGAACTTTGGGGTGATTGATGGGGAGTAACAAATATCCAA